AATGGGAAGCCATGGAAGAGAGGGCGGTGATACAATCCAACACACACAGCCAGCCATTGCTACCCCAGGGCTTCTGGGCCTGTTCAGTGTGGATGAATGAATAACCCCATGCAAATCCAGCCAAAGAACTGGATGCAAGGGGCTTTCACCAAGGCAGGTGAATCCCAAGGCCAGGTGGAAGCTTCACAAGGTCTGCCCTTGTTCTCGCCTTCATCTAGAGCCAGGGTCACACCAGGAGCTGAGTAAGTATTTCTGAATGAATTAGTTGATGGAGAGATGACAGCCAGGTAGCAAGTCCAGAGCCTACGTGGAGAATCAGATCAGAGGCAATCAGAGTTTTCTACTCTGAACCCCATGGGCCCACTCAGTCATCATAAAGAATTTCCGCTGACAGCTCCACCCAAGAGAGAGCAGAAGCTCCTGGGTACAGAGCATCTCTGTCTCAACTTGGTGAGTTCCCACTCTTGGCTCCCAAGCTCTGTATACCTGTACCTTGCCTCTGGGCTGTTGCTGGCACCATTCATTGTTTGGATGACAGTGCTCTTTCTGGCTGGAGCTCAAACTATAAAAACAGGCACACGCCACCAGATTGGTACGGCCTTAAGCATACTGCCCACTTTCACCTTGCAGGCCACGGGTAATAGAGGGAGGGTTGTGGCCATGTAGAATCTTCTACTAAATGTTGGGATGGAGAGAGAGAGAGAGAGAGAGAGAGAGAGAGAGAGAGAGAGAGAGAAAGAAAGAGAGAGAGGAACTAAGTGTTGAATTGTAGTAAACAGGCAAATAATAAACAGGCTTTAAAGGAAGACTTTACACTGAGTGGCCAGATTATTATGACCGGCCAGATTATTATGACCACCCCATCAGTACTTCATTGACACTTCCAAAAATACTGACTATTGAAAACTTCCTAAGCAAATACTTTCAAGGTATTATTATTATTATTTGCATAACTAATTCACTTCATTGTACTGATGGGGTGGTCATAATAATCTGGCTGGTCATAAAAATCTGGCAGCTCAGTGTATTATGCCTAAGTAACTTTGAAGAAATAATACCTCATTTTCTGAAATCTACAGCTATGGGCATTTGACAAGTCACCTGACAAGACTTGAAAATGAGGAAATACTGAGACTGAAGCATGGTCCCCTCTCCCATTCATGCTGCTTTCCTACCTGCCCCTCTTCTCCCAGCCTCTTGGCTCCTGGCACCTTCTTGGATCTCATTGGTGCCTAACCACCATTCCCATCAGCCAGACCTTAGCTGAGCCTGACATTTAGATCTCAGGAGAGCACTCTGTGAATGAGAAGTTCCTCCTCTTTATGTTTCAGATGCGAGAACATGGTCATACAGCAGGCAGGTAGGAGAGCTCGCATGTGAACCAAGGCATGTCTGCTGTCATAGCCTGGGCACAGCGGACTGTTCCCAACCACAGTGAGAGGCCAGAGAATTTCTAGAGATACAGCATGTGACCTTTGGCAAGCTCGCTCCTCTGAAGCTATTTCCTCATCTGTAAATAGGCATAATAACATCTACCCTTTTGTGGCGGTTAGGAGTACGAGAGATAAGATCTCTAGAAGGCCTAGTACAGCACCTGACTCAGCCTAGATGTTATCTACAATTATCATCACCTTTTGAACATAGCCTGTCTCTTATGTTCCAGAGCTCAGGAAATGGATGCTGCTCACCTCCCAGTGGGTTCAGCACAGGTGATGATAAAGACTCCCCTCTTTACAATGCAGGAGGCCAGCAGGTCCAGGAGAAAGTGCATAGGATGGCCAGCCAGAACCTTGAGCACCAGTCCCAGCTCCATGGGTCCTGGCTGTGTGACCTCAGAGAAGTCATAATCTCTTTGAGTCTCAGTTTCTTTATCTGTAGGATGTAGATAAGAATAATAAGCAGCTTGCCTCCATTATAGGCTGCGGCTAGGTTTAAGTGAGATAATGGTCTGGAAATGCTTTGTAAAGTGGAAAAGTGTTATCCAAAAGTAAGGGGCTATTATCTTTATGATGATAGAGATCTAGTGTGGGTGGCCCCATTATGGAGGGTGGGGAGCAAACAATCTTCTTCTGCCCCTGGGAAAGACAGAACCAGAGGAGGAGGGCATAAGGTGACTGCAGTGGAGTTAGAAGGAATGAGTTTTGGGAAGCCAGGGTGGCTAACTAGTGGAATAACAGACTACAGGAAGAGCACACCTGGTTTAAAGACACTCAGGCACTTCCATTAAAAAAATGAAATCAAGTTATACTAATAAATATTAAAAGTTCCAAGAAAGGGCTGCCCAGATATGGTATAATTTACATGTTCAATCCTAGCAGCACATCAGTTATGGATCTAGGAGTACTGTGTCTGTTACAATTACTTCGGCAGCTTCCCAGTCCCCAAAGATATTCAGAGATAAGATTCCTCTCCCAATTTCAACGTGTGGGTTTTTTCCTCACCACTAAGCAAGTCTCCAACACCAGCTGCGTGTCCTACAATTCAACTCAATTCTGATACTGACTACTTGGAGATAGTGTCAGATCCCATAGGTTATAGACTCAGTCCTACAAGACAGCCTCCCCAACCCCCCGGCCCACCCCACTTCAGATGCCAATCGCAAGCCCAAGTTGTCACTTGTGCTATAGATTGAAGATTCCAACTACTCCCTCCTTGGGTTTGATTAATTTGCTAGAGCAACTCACAGAACTTAGAAAACATTCTACTTACTAGATTACCGGTTTATTATAAAACAATACAACTCAGGAATGGCCAGATGGAAGAGATGCTTGGGGGAAGATACTGGGTAAGGGTGCAGAGCTTTCACACGCTCTCTGGCACTCTCTCCAAATCTCCAAGTGTTCCTCAACCAGGAAGCTCTCCAAACTCCTCCTGCCGCAGTCCTTTTTGGTTTTAGTGCAGGCTTCATGACAAAGGTAAGATTGATTAAATCATTGGCCATTGGTGACGGGTCTCAATCGCCAGCCCCTTGTCCTCCTGTGATCAGGGGTGTGGGACTGGAAGTTCCAATAGTCCAATCACATGGCTGGCTTGGCTCTCTCAGTAGTGAAGTAGTAGCAGTTTTACTTGGGCTAAACACTTATATTTCAGCCTCACTTTCCTCATTCACAAAATGGGAAAATAGCTATGTTGACGGTACCCAAGATTATCATCTTAATTCCATCTTGGGCACATTGGGGGCAGAGGCAATGCTGCCTAGAGCAGCGGTTTTCAAAGTGTGTTCTGGGGGGCGGGGGCTGAGACCTGGTCTAGGAACCTGTGAGGGTACCTTTTTTCAATTGCATACCTGTATAATCTGGATATTCTTCATTTACTTGAATCAAAACATCACAACAAATTGAATGCAAAGACAGATGTGAGACTCCAGCTGTCGTCTACTAAACAGACATTAAAATGTTTGCAAAAATGTAAAACAATGCCACTTTTTTTCACTAATTTGGGGGGGGAGATATAAATTTAAAAATAAAAATACATTGCCCTAACTGGTTTGGCTCAGTGGATAGAGCATCGGCCTGCGGACTCAAGGGTCCCAGGGTCAATTCCAGCCAAGGGCATGTACCTTGGTTGCGGGCACATACCCAGTGGGGAGTGTGCAGGAGGCAGCTGATCGATGTTTCTCTCTCATCGATGTTTCTAACTCTCTATCCCTCTCCCTTTCTCTCTGTAAAAAATCAATAAAATATATAAAAAATAAAAATACTTTAACATGTAATGACATTTTATGAACTAAAGAACACTTTTAAATTCTCAGTTTGAATTTTATTTTATTTTTTTAAAATATATTTTATTGATTTTTTACAGAGAGGAGGGGAGAGGGATAGAGAGTTAGAAACATTGACGAGAGAAACATCGATCAGCTGCCTCTTGCACGCCCCCACTGGGGATGTGCCCGCAACCAAGGTACATGCCCTTGACCGGAATCGAACCTGGGACCTTGAGTCCGCAGGCCAATGCTCTATCCGCTGAGCCAAACCGGTTAGGTCTCAGTTTTAATTTTAATACAGGAATTATCAATAGATATAACCTACACAAACAAAAGGTCTTCGGGATCCTTAATAATATTTAAGAATGCAAATTTTGAGATCAAACAGTATTTTTGCTCGGAGGAAAGAATAGGGTTCCAGATCTAGATTTTTCAGGCACCTTGTGCTTCAGTGTTTTGTATGTCTCTCTCTCTCTCTCTCTTTCTCTCTCTCTCTCTATCTCTCTCTCTCTATATATATATATATATATATTGATTTCAGAGAGGAGGTAAGAGAAAGAGAGAGATAGAAACATCAATGATGAGAGACAATCATAGATTGGCTATGTCCTGCATGCCCCACACTAGGGATCGAGCCCACAACCTGGGCATATGCCCTGACCAGGAATCCAATCTGTGAGCTTCTGGTTGAGCTCCTGGTTCTTAGGTCGATGCTCAACCACTAAGCCGGCCTGTTTTTTTAATCGATTTTATAGAGAGAGATGGAGAGAGAGAAACATCGATTTGTTGTTCCACTTATGTATGCATTCATTGGTTGGTTCTTGAATGGGCCTGGATGGTGGATCAAACCCACAACCCTGGGGTATGGGGAAAATGCTCTAACCAACGGGGCTACACGGCCCGGCCTCTGTGCTTCCGTTTCTTAACCTCTAACTCAATAGTCATTCTTGTAACATGGGTGGTTATCAATCTCTTTTTTCATGTTTATTTGTTGCATTATGTGTGTATACAGAGACTGTCTGTAGTCTAGAAGGACACACAATAAACTGGTACAGTGGTTCCCCCTGGAAAGGGGAATTTGGAAACTGGGAGACCGTGATACCATAAACCTTTCTGCTCTGATTTGTGCTTTAATATGTCATGCATACATTGCCTGCCTACATTTATTATTGAGCAATTAAAAAAGTAAAACTACACTTTTGTTTAGATGGTTAGGAATCAGAAGTCAGCTCAAGTAAAGTAGTGCTAACCGACAATTAAAACAAACAAAGAAACCAGTGAAGTTTTCCGTGCCTACCTTCGCGGGACTCACAAACACTTCCCGCAGGTCCCATCCCGCTCACCTCCAGCCCGGGGCGGCGGCCAAGTGTCCCCGCCCCCGCCCCCGTGTCGCCGAGGTCCCGCCCACGTGAACGTCACTTCCGGAAGGATCGCTTCCCCGAACTCCCTCTGGCTCCCGCCTTCACCCGCTT